TTGGTTTGTGTTTGGTGATGGCTGATGTTTATTTTACTTTATATACTGTATGTACGCTTATATTTATGCATTTGTAGTGAATTGATTTATGAATAATATGAATATTATATGCTAATATCATTTATACTCATGTATATATTTGACAAAGTAAACAACCCCTTTCATTTGTCTGTCAATGCCTTACATTGTACTTGAGTCTCGTATTATTCATTCAAAGCTTTATTGCTGATCATCCATAAAGGTCAAGGCACTTTATCTCCCGGAGAAAGGTAGTGCTTCTTTGATATTGCACTCGTTCTCTCCTTAAGAAAAGACTTCGTGATCTTTAACCCTAGTTTGTATTATTAAAGGAAAATGGATTCTAGTTTTGGAAAAGAGGAAGAAGAAAGAAGAGGGAGAGAGAGGAACTATTGAAAATGTAATAGTTGTCGATTAATTCCTGAAATATTATATAAATATCACTTTACCTTTACTAGTTGTACTAGTAAGAAGATTCTTCTTTAAAAATTTCGTTTCAAAGCATACTTATAGTAAACTGATCACATTTTCACAGCTTTTCCCTCTCTTACATTATGAATATAGCCTTCTCTTACAAAGTAAAATAAGAAAGACTTCTTCAACCATGTCTCATTTTCCACTTCTATGCAAAAGGTAATTCTAGGTCAAACCTATTACCTTTTGCACTAAAGTCTCCATAACTCAACTGACATCATCCTTTGAGAGAAACAACTGATTAATTTCATTAATCGCTTTTCTTTTTCAATAGTTTAAAACGGAAAATCCATTAGAACGTCTTTAATAGAAACCTCTATTATCGAATTTTTTTGGAATATAGATTAGACAAAATCGGAACGACACAAATACATATATAGATATCTCTTCTGTTTATAACCATTCTACTATTAAAATGGTACGCAAAATGTATTAAAAGTTGAATATACTTTATTAATATACAATTAAATATTCATGTATATTATTCCTTTGATTGTAATAAATAAATCATTAATTAGACCTAAAAATTTCATATAAATAAATAAAATAATTTTAATTTACAATTGAAAAACGAAAGAGGGATTCTCTTGTTTTTATCAGTAGTCTCTTTTGGGAAAAATAGAGCTTTAGTGGTTTTAAAAAATGAAAAAGGAGCGAGAGAGAGAGATGGAGTGGAAAGTGGAAGGATGATAGAGATAAGTTGAAAAAAAAAGATAGACGAAAATCTTATCCTTCCATCCGAAAGACTAATAAAGTTAATTGATAAATTAATTACATTAGGCAAGTTTTCAATGTATCGAATCGATTTAGTAGATTGCTACAGAATAGTGTAAAAAGATACTAGCTTCTTTTATAAATAGTATCTTTATCACTATTCTATGAATTGAGTACATTAATACTGTGTACACTTCATGTTTACTTATTATGAAATAGATATATCAATACATTGGAATCAATGTCTAAATTCTAGTTTGTAAGTTAATAGAAAACTATACGTAATTAAATTGAAGATACTTAATATAAATTTTAAATATGTACATTGAAAGTCAAGGACAATATCTTGCCTCCCACGCTATACAATAATCCCTAATGACCATGTACAAACCCGGTTTGGCATGCAACTCATCAATGCTAGCTTGACAAATTCCTTTCGGAGAGAACTTTAAAAAAAAACAATTAATGTCGTTGCGGTGATTTACGATATACATCCTGAGCATTTCTATTGTAGAAACTTGTCAAAGACTTGAAAGGAATAAAAGATAATATTGTCAAAAATTTACCAGGAAAGATATGTTCTGTTATAGAGTTTTATATTAAAATTAAACGATTATTCACTAAAAATAATTCCATATTTATAAAACAAAAAAGTTTTTTTTTTAAAAAAAAAGAAATGCAATAAAAATAACAAAAGTTATAAAATGAAGCTTTCAAAATTAGTCGTTTTTTATTTTATCTATAACGTTGAACAGTAGATGGCGTTAAACTAGAAGAAGAATGAAAATAGAATAAACATCATTTCTATGAATGTGAACTAGAAATATTGAAATTGTAAATAAAATGATTTAAAGGATGTTAGCTTTATATAACTTATTTAGAGACAAACTTTTCATAGAATTGTTAATAATTCATTTAAATACTAATTTATTTTTACATATCTACATACATATTGTATTTATACAGTATATCGTTGTTTGATATATCCGCAATTTTTTACAGTTTTTTTCTGTTTTAGAAAGAAGGGTTTAAAGATTTATTCATTTATTAGATTTAATGGTACCATAAACTTAAATATTGATAGTAAGTATTCTAAAACTGGTTTTAACTGCCTCTTTTAGTTTCCATTTAGCTCATTACTTAATTTACTATAGATATAGTGCTTTTCTTTTTTCACATGATATAAATATGTAAAGGGAGAGACAAGGGATTCTTAGAAGGGAAAACTTGCCTCCGAGACGTTAATTTTCATCTTAAAATCAATGAAAAAGGTGGGATGTTAATATAATTAATTAATTCACCTTGTTATTAACGTAGAAACTAATTTTTCTATTTTTTGTGTAAATCTATAATATTTATTTAACAAACTTTGCTTAAGAGGCTATTAATATTCATGAAGAAAAATATTAACTTTCTCTCACATTTATAATACAAAAAAAAACACATTGGAATATATAAGAATAGATTGTTTTCCTTTTCTATGTCAAAGAACATCAACATCTATTGTTGTTGATAAATTGTTGATATGTTAATTTTGCATGGATGACCTACATATTCATTTTTCCATATCTTTTTTATTATATTCGGTATATATTATAATTATTTCTGGAAAATATGAATAAAATATTCTACTTTTAAGCTACATAGTCAACTTGTTTATATTTATGATAATATTTATATTTAAATGGCGGATAAATCATTTTATCTATATATCTTTTTCATATTTTATCCTTTTTACATCTTTACTAGATAAAGAAAAGTCCACTAAGATAAAATACGAAAAAGATGTTCGAATAGTAAGGGTATAGATGCTGTGGTATATTATTCTATTATATGATATGCTTAATATCACATCTTTTAATTACAAAGGAAAAACTAGAAGAGTACTTCTTTATTCTCATTCCTATAATAAATGCAATTTTATTAAATTTTACTATATTTAGACTAAAATAGCTAAATATATAGATTATTATAGTATTTCATAAAATACAATTCTAGCTGATTCATTTAGTTTTCTATTTTTTTATCCTCTTTTCACTAATTTCCTAAACTAAGCTTTAAAATTCCATTATAAATTGTAAAGGACTGTCTTAAAAAGGATAGAGTAAGAGAGAGAGAGAGAGAGAGAAAGAGAGGGTATAAAGGAGCAAAACTTTCAATTTAACTTCTTCTTTCCTCCTTATCTCTCTTTACTTGCAAAATTTTCAATTAAACGATCGTTTTCTTCTTTTTTATTCTATTTCTTTTTCTTTTGGAAGAAAAAAAACCTATTTTGTATTACATTTCTGATTTCTTTCTCTCTATAAGAGTAAAAAGTAATCTTACAGCTGCACGAGATAAAGGAAAGAATATTTTCGGATAGGAAAAAAATAGAAAAATGCACTGGACAGTCAATCCATTGCAGATATTAATAATAAAAGAGAGTTCTGTCACCATAATTCATCAATTTTTTTTCTTTAACATCTCACTCTTCCATACTTTTTCCATTATGATTTTCCATAAAAGTCGATAATAATATATGGAAAATAATTTTCAAAGCTAACAGAAAACGATTCGTCCACTCTTTCTTTTCTGTCTTATAAGAATCTACGTCCTTAACCAATTCATCATTAACCCAGCTCTTCTTAAGTAACAATAGTAACTAAATACGTCATTTTACTAACTTTAATAAATGTCTTTACTTTATTATTCATTATTCGTTTATCATCTTCTTTGTCTTTTATTCTTATATCGTTAAAATAAAGCTAATGTATATTTACTTTACAAGAGAATAACACCAATTTAAAGATTCTTAGAGAATTGATACATCAAAGTCAAATTAACCTTATATTATATGATTACATCTCAACTAAAAAGTTCATGGTTAACGGATAGAATAGAAGTAATAGGCTGAAAATTAACATTTCAATTTTCTTGTAAATGATATGTATTTAAACAATTTTCAGTCGAAAGATTTAATATTTTTTTCATTTAATATGTTTATAAGGAAAGAGAGAACTAGACCGTATTCAGTATATAATATAAAAGCGTTGTAATTATACAGAGGGATAGAGGAGATCCGAGTAGAAGGGAGAGAGAGAGAGAGAGAGAGATGGCTCGTATCGCCATCTATAGGATATATGAAAACTAAAAAAATCTATTTTTACTTGAAAAATATAATCTTCTGTAATGAAAAGAAATTGTACGAAATGCCCTTTTTTTTAAAAAAAAAAGAAAGAAACATTCTATAATTAACAAGCAAATAGCAAAAGCTGTTAAATTCTACTTTAAAACATTAAAAAATTAAGTAAAACGTAACAATGCAAACAATTCAATTTAATTTAAAAATCATTTTAATATATATTGAATAATCTTTATTAATATTTATAAAAAGACAAGAACAGCATTTCTATTTGAGAAGGAAGAAAGATCAGAAATATTTACTAATTGAATAGTTCAATAGTAGTTATTCTATAAAGCTATATACAATATTTAATAAGCTAATTGACAATAATATGGGTTTATCGATATTAATCAATAGGTTAAATTAAACACTGTATATAGATTATTTTTAACTTTTGGTCTTTTGAGTTTCTATAGTTTTTTAGTTTGCTAAAGGAGTATAACAATGGTTATTAATATTAGTTCCGTGAATATAAGGTGGGATAATAGTTTGACTTGCATTCACTAATTCTACTTAAAAACTTTTAAGGAAGAGAAAGAATGAACCTTTCAGAGTTTTGTCCATATTTGTTAACAGCTAAATCAAATATTTGAAAGAGAATGATATAAATAATGAAAAAGTTTTTTTAGATATTATTATCAGTCTAATCTCTTCGAAAGATTAATCTGAGGTAAATTTTCTAGAATATTAACATACCTTATTTTATCTGGTTAATACCCATTTTTCTTGCAAAAAGGAACAAGGAGAGGAAAGGAAATAAGAAGAAGAAGAAGAGAAACATTGAAATTGAAAATAATAAAAAAGCAAACAAAGATATATCATGATGAAACTATCTTCTTTGTTTATTGTTTGTTTACTTGGAATTTTGGCACCATGCTATTCGAATAATTGCCAATCCACTATTAAATTTTCTAATTGGACGCTTATAGATTATGATGGAAAATGCTTTGGATATGGTCAGCTATTTGGCGTTAAACATTATGGTTATTTTGAAGCGCAGAGATTCTGTAAGAAATATAATGGAAAATTGGCTTCAATATCTTCTAAAGAAAAACAAACTGAATTTGGAAGAGAAATTAAATTTGCAATCAAATATGATGCCGTTTACACAGTGTTTGACGATAGCGAAGCCTTTTTCTGGGTTGATTTAGTGAATAACACAGATACTGTTAAATGGGGAGATGGAACATACTTTAAGCAAAGCGTTTCCCCTGCTAAATCATCATATTCTTATTCGTATTTGTCAAAATACCTAGTTGTGAATGTGGACTATGAAGGTCGCATGACATTCTACAATGAATATCATCCGTATGATGTACGTAATGCCGTGTGTGAATTTTTTAATCGTAAGTAGGCAATTTATAGAGTATAATATAACTAAGTTTTAAATTTCATATATCTTTCTTACAGCTGGAAATAAAACGCAAGGAAACTCTACAGGAGTTGGAGATCCTCATATGAGTCATTATATTCGAAGCGCAGATAAAAGTATTTGTTATGATTTAACGGGAAAGGCTGAGGATGAATTTATTCTACTCGACGATAAAAAGAATCATATCATTATTTCTGGTATTCTCTTGGACGATTATTACTTTCATTCAATTAAAATAAGAATGGGAAATAAGACTGTAATTGCTCATACAAATCCGTTAAAATCTACAATTTCCTGGAACAGAAATTTACAGATTTATAAATCATTAACTATCAGGAGAATAAATCAAAATGAACTTTTAATTTCAATTGATAGGCATACATCGTTTGTTTTAACTAAAGCAAAATCTATTGGTGAAGCATATATTAATATCTGGATTCAAACTTTTGACGAAACAAACGCTGGAGGAATATTCGGGGATGTTGCCAAAAATAACTATGAATTTTTTGAATCTTCTCAAAGAGGACAAAGAGGATCTGTACAAGTTAATGGTAGAATTTTCCCAGCTGAATTCCGTCACGAACCGAAAAATTGTTGGTTTATGTCTCCGGAAAATGCTCTATTTCCTAAGAAACCAGTTAATTACATTGATAATTTGCAAAATACTCCATTCAATCTATAAATAATTAATTAGATTTTTCCCTTTTCTAAAAAAGAAACAGGAACAATTATTATATTGAAAGAGAACAACAAAAACTGTATTTTTCTTTTAAAATACATCATTTAATAGATACATTCGGATTTATTATGCAAATAATACAACTTATACAACAAGCAGTTTCTCCGTATCTTAATTAACTCTATACGATTTCAATAATTATCCTACTGGAATGTTTATTTATAGATATTTTTTTATGATAGTACGAAGAGAAAATCAATAAAGAATATAATTTTACTTCTAACTTTCTTATTGAAATTTATTTTATATAAAAAGAAAAATAACAAGTTTGCACGCAACATTTATATTACTTGTTTATGTTTATCGAAGATGATGATAATCTATTATAACTTGACTAGAATCTATTAGTAATCACAACCTATTTATAGACAATTTCATTTTGTTTTCCTTATAATTATTGTCTATTTCTTTTGCTGTTGATAAATTCTGCTCTGGTAAACGGACCCTTATTTTTTTTTATCTCATTTACTCAGACCACCCTCCTTACCCGCCTTCTTCACTTGCTCTTTATCAAGAAATTCATAATTGGACATTTCCCATTATAATACGATAGGCTTTGAGTAACTTTTTCCCCGGAATCGGAAGCTTCCACCCTCTTTATGTCGTTAATTTCAACATGCCTTTTAATAACAGCTATTAAAAAAATATTGATCTATCTGTTCGTTTTTAAATATGAATATCCCCGTTTGCCTCCCTCTCCCTACAAGAACAAGTCATTTTTAAAGAGTCTTTATTTTGACAGGATTAGATAAAATATTTGATTAGAATAATATATTCCGTTCTAACCAACCTACATTAACAAATATTGATAGAAATCGAAGAAGTACTTGAATATCCCAGGGGTTCATTCTATTTTCCTCTCTTTCTTTGGTATTATCCTTCCTCTATGCCTAAATATTTGAATATGTTTTCTAAACGTAATTAAATATTACGCAAAGCTCTTACCTACGCATATTATCATTATTATTCTTACCAAGTCCTTAGTTTATGGATAAAAACGTAAAAAGCGTTTCTATGTAAAGATATATAAACTGATTATTAAAATACAGTAAAAAGCTTTCTATTCCTTAGGTGTTCTATTCTTTTTTAATATCAATGCAGGCACAGTCCTATACATTTCCCTTTAAAAATAGCGAAAAGGATGAAGAATTTCTATCTTATTTGTAAGAACAAAAGGTTAACTTATTTTGTATAGATTTTACAAAAATCTCTCATAAGAAAAATATATCTGGATGGAGTATGGAATATCTTGAAAATTGAGGTAGGTAGGAAAGTATATAAGATATAATATTCAACGAAAGACTTTTCTCTTTCCCTCGCTCTCTTTACAAGCATAAATAGAAAGATTTTTAGTCTATCTTCGTCTAGCCTTTGACGTGATTTTGTTAATTAAAGAAATGGATTATGTTTTAATATAACTAATAATAGAACTATAGATTAATTAATACATGAATGTTTAAAAAGTATATACTATATTATCGAGATGCGTTTTGAACACAACAGATAAAAATAAATGTACAGTATGTACAGTATATATAAATTTATATACATATTTATATAGTTTTATCTATATCTATAAGTATAAATGACACAAATAGATTAGTCTTTTTAATGGATGATAGAGAATAACAGAGAAATGAAGGGAAAGATAGAAAAGAGAAACGATTAGATGAATTTGATGTAAACAAAACACAAAGTTAAAAATAATATAAAAATCCTGCCCAGTATAAAATATTTAAGCAGACGAAAGAGAAAGGGAATAAAATTCTAGCCATTGAATCGATTCTACTAACGCTAGATGTACCGCATTTACTCATCGCTTTCAAATGTCTATAATTGCTGTTGCCCATTAAACAGTGAAGAAACATTACCCAACAGTTTTCTTTCACTAAACCGTCCGGTCCTCCAATATAGTCTGTACAAGTGTTTGACATTGCATGACCGTTTACATCGGTTACGTAACTCTGCCGCCTGTTTTCTGGTCGCATTAAAGGAATAAAATCTGGACTACTGCCTTTTGTAAAATAATTAACTCCTGCATATTCAACAAGAGCGGCGAAAACGAAACAAAAACACATGACTAAAAAAATGTCTAATGCTGTTGAGTAGCTGACTTTTGGTATCCCTTCTCGTCCTGTTATACCAATAGTACATGTTGTGAGAAGAGTTGTCGTGCCAAGGGTTACTCTGGCTGGCGTCGCTTCTCGATTTATCCAAAATGATACCCAAGAAATGATAACAATTAGGTAGCATGGTAAATAGATTTGTAGGAAGAGGAAGCCGATTTCTCTTCGAAGTTTAAAAACTACAAAGATAATTTTTCGATTTCCTGGATGGATGGATGAATAAATAAATTAATTAAATAGAAATATATAATCCTTTTTGTTTTTTTTTTTATAAAAAAAACTCAAATCTAAAGTAAAAAATTGGATTTTTAATTGAATATATAAAAAAAGACACAAGAGATCGTTATGAAGCTTATTTGAAAAGAAAGTTTAGTGGCTCCACCTACCATGATTTAAACCCGATGTCATATTGCCAGTTTCTTTTTCAGTTAATTTAAATTGAGCCATTTTGATATCTTTATAATTAGCCACTGGTTTCTTACCAGATTTATTCTCCCATTCATAAAGAACATCCTCACTACCGTATCCATCTGCCAAAGGCAAAGAAATAAAAGCGGATTATCTCTAGGTATTATCCTAATCTATTGCTAGCTTAAACTCACAACTGCCAATCCAAAGCGGACAGTTTTGTTTATCCATGGGATACTTTTCCAGATTCATTATACACTTCGATTTGATTGTTAACCTCTGTGAATATAGTATGTCACCGCTGGCGTTAATTCTAAATAATTTATTCGAATAGGTGATGGTATGCAAATATGATCCTTGTCCATTTAGAATGTAGGTATCAGGTATCCATATTTTGTCCGTCATTTTAACACTAGGACGTAATTGAGTTATATTCCCATCTATAAAATAGATAAATGAATAGTTGGCATAGAATAATGAAATAAACACTCTGATAGACGATAAGAAAGTAATAAAAAAGAGTCAAAGAAAAAATCCATTATCATAGGTATTGTTTGGTTTTAAACAGCCCTATTTTAGTGTCAAATTTCCCAGAACGTGTATAAACAGAGATAATTTGTTATCAGCCTTTAGAGCTTTTTTCTTTATTTTTCCACTGTCGGAACTACGATAGACTAGAATCTTACATTCCTTAGCAAAATTATTAGTTTAAGCTCCCTCCTTTTCTACTACTACCACCCTTCTTTTTTTTTCTTTCCTTTTTGCTCTTTCTCTCTCGCTCACGTTCTAATTTCTCCCTCAATTCCCTGCTATTTCTATATATCGACTATCAATGCATAAATTTTCTTTACATGTAAAAAATTTCCGCGAAATTCAATTCAGAGAAAGATAATACACTCTTAATGAAGCATAAGAAATAAAAATAATCAGATAGTTTCTTATTATAATATGAATATAGAATAAATATTTTGCAACAGCTGTAAAGGTTGATATAGTTCACTACCATCAAATTATTTTCTATTTAAATAGTATGAATTACAAAAGTGTCATAATTTATCTTTTTCCTTCTCCTCCTCACTCTTTCCCTTTTCTTTTCTTACTCATACGATTATCGAAAGATAATAACTAGAAGAAATAAATGTAAATTGCGTAAAACGTGTCTTGATGTTGTTTTCTTGGAAAAGAGAATTAGTTTTCCCTTTTTTTTTAGGTAAATGTTTCAAAATTATTGCAGCTGTTTTTTTTTACATTTGATGAACGAGATCTATAAACCTTTAGGGAAAATGTAACAAATCAAAAATCAATGTTCAGTTGTAAATAGTAAAACGCGAAAAACAAAAATCGAAAAGGTTTTTGGGGTAAAGAGATAGAGGGTTAGACAGACAGAGAGAGAGAGAGGGAGAGAGAGAGAGAGAGAGAGAGAGGGAGAAGAGGAAAGAAAAATTGTTTTATAACTACTTATCTATCGGGAAATCTAGTCAGAATGGGTATTCGATCTTTATCAAATATTATAGAAAAAGATATAAATTGGCAAACTCTCTAAATGAATCCAATCATTCTATTGAAAATTAATACAGTCTATTTGTATTGTATAATAGAGTACTTAATGAAAGAGAATAATTAAGACATTTTTCAAAATGAATGAACAAGCGTTCGATTAAGATTGATCTGTCCTCTCTTACTTCCATATAGAGATACCCGAGGCAATATTATTTTGCACCTGTTGTCTTGTTTTTACAAATGATTATGGATGATAACCCTAAGGCAATTGTTTAATTAGACGATAAAACTATGTATTGCTGCCTATTTTCATTAGTTAGCCACAAATAGCGTTAATAATCGTCTTATATCAGTTAATTGGGTTAAATATTCATTGAAGCAGTAAACTTATATCTGTAAAGATATATATAATATATAAGGATATATGTATCAAATACATATATTCAGCATGGTAAATGTATATAATACAACTACACATATATAAATATCTTAGGGGTAAATAAGGTTTAATCGTGTTTGCTGATAAATTAAACAAACTATTATAGACAGAAAAAATAAATAAATAGGGAAAAGTTCAATTCTAACACAGACAATAAAATTCGTTGAAAGGATAAAAGCTTTAAATAGAAATCTTTCATAATCAGATATTATTAATTTTCAATTTTCATATATCTTTCAATGATTATCTTCTTATATGCAGTATTTTCCTTTGGGATAAATGCTATTAATAGCATACTTCATATAGTTGAAGAAATATTAGCTGAAATTAGTTTTTAACACTAATTTTCCTCTATAACAGGCTCTTCTATTTCTAATTAAAACTCGTAAATTTAATTGTTTCATACTGTTTCTTTGTTATATGAATTTAGAAATTTAGCCCTTTTCCCAAGATCAGAACGACTGTAAAAGTTTGCGTGACTAAAAACGCTTCTACTCAAGAGTACTTTATCGTCTAGTAATCACGTTTCTTTTTCACCAATTGACGAAAAATGCTCGTTTCGACAACTTCAATTTGTAAGAATAAAAATAATAGGAAAATGTGCCCCTTTTGTAAACAATTACATTTTCTATTGAATAGAATTCAATAGAATTTATAATAAAAAGAGATAAGTTTTGATTCGATTGATTATTAAAATAATAAGTATTTTATTCTTTCGTATAGATAAATACTCTTTAGAATTGAAAGACGAGCATTCATTATATACCGATTATCTCATTTCTTCTTAGTTTTACTGCTTTTCTTCTCTCTCTTTTTTGATTAAGCATTGAGAATTTTCATTCTATTACCTCTTTATAAAGTAGCCACCAATTTATAACCTGTGCCATTAAGGTCAAGTTGAGAGTGAAAGCGGGTAAGGGATTTAGCATCAGGTGTATGACCAGCTACACTTTATCGATAAATTCCCTACTGATGGATTGAGGTTTTAAACAACTGTGTAAATTGATGTAAAAACCCTCTTCTCTATTATTCACTTGTCTTGAACAATAGTAAGGATAAAAATGATTAAGTCCTGTTCCCTCGGAATTTTTAATACTTGAAAAAAAAACTGTACGTTTTTATTATGAAGACTTCTTTTCATCTTCCTCTCTTCCCCCTTTTTATTATTGGTTTATAAATTTATCTAAATCCGACTTGACATACTGCAATTTTACAGTTTTAAATGCAAATCTTTTTCATCCTCTTTTCTCCTTCTATAGTCTAACAAACTTTTTTTTTTCCAGTAAATGTTTAGTTTTGTCAAAGGGAAGACTGCTTGCATAATAATATTTACTTACATCCTTTAACAACCGAGAATAATAGAATAAATGATTCTTTCCCGGTTCTTTTCTAGTATTGTCAACTGTCTTTTATTCATATCATAAAAAGATTGGGAAATGGTAAAAAACGAGTGGGAGGTGTGGGAGGTACAAAAGAGATTTGGTGAGAATTTTAAAATGGCCACCACCACCATGAAAATACTTTTTTCAGCAATTAAACAATTCTCTAGATGGTTGAATGATGAATGAATTATTTATTTTCTGGATTTACTTTCTCACAAATTAGCATCGTTTACTATTATAAAAAGTGAAGATTACTAGCATATCTTAAATCGACGAAATGGTTTAATAATTAAGACTTTTCCCTTGTTTCTCTTTTATTCATTGTCATCAATTTTCATGAATTATTTATTTTTATGATTTAATAACCTAGATGTGTTTAATAGTCATAATATATTCGTTGATAAATGTCAGTAATTAATATTTAATAAGAAATTAATCAGCGTTATACTTTTCTTTCATTACTAAAAGTATACTTTTTATCTATAGGATACTATATAAAAATATCTTATTAACAATATCTATACATATTTATACCGCAAATACATTATGTACTGCAATCTCGGAGAAATGTTCTCATTTTGCTTTTTATCTCTTTTAGGTTATATTTATCTAAAGTAGCTTCGTTTAACGCTAACGAAAATATTTCGCTTATAAGTAAGAGAAAAGAAACTCTCTTGGAAGCGGGGCTTTCCTTTATGCTTCATTAAAAAGTGTGGAAAGAATAGATTGGAAAATATATAGGAATAGAAAATATTTTGTAAAACTATTCGCTCACCTGTTGGAAAAGATAATCTAATATCTTTCCATGTTTGCCTGAAGTAGCAGTCCATCGAGAAAAGCTGACAGAAATGAAATATGTAAAGAGTCTATGGAGCATTTCATTAAAGAGTACGAGAAAGATATAGCACTTTCTATAGTAGATTATGAATTAATATAGGGCAAAACTGTACAAATATACAGTGTAGTATGTTTATGCATATAAGTTAATAGAAACGCTTATTTGCATCACTACAGCTATTTTTAGTAATAAAATAGTTCAGTAACCAAATTCGATTGTCAGACAAAAATTGAGTCTGGTGAAACTAGTAATAAAAGATAATGCTTACCATCTTTTCCTCACTTACTGGACCCATACTTCTTATAAGGATATTAACTGTTACAGAAAGCGGTGGACCTGTTTGGGAAACGGCAAAGAAAAAAAATAAAACAACCAATAAATTTTACTTTTGGGAATTACTAAATTTCGCTTTGATATAATTTATATGGAACCTTAAAAGAAAGTCAGTTTTACATTACTTTACGCTAAATCTCTTTACTTTATAACATATTTGGTACTGTTTTAGTAAATAAATGGATGAAATATACGTGCTGTCTACATAGAATATTGCAATATACTCTTAATAGTTGTATTTTTATAGAGATTCTTAAGAAAATTAAAGAACCGGTAATTATTCCACAATGTAAATTATACGTAATACAAATAAATATTTGATGTATAACAACGTTGTACTCATTTAAAAATTCTCTTCTTATTCTGCACTCTACAAAAAGAGAGATAATAGAGAAGAAATAATAGATAGTATACTAATACAAACAGTTAAATATACTATGTGATATACAAAATATTGTCTATTTAAATATGAATAAGAAGGAATTTATACTTTGTCAATTATTGTTCAATTAAACTTGGTTGATAATTTTTTTCAATAGGAAACAAATGCATTTTTATTTGTAAAACTTTCAAAAGAGGCCGACAGGAAAAAAGTTAATCGATAAATCGAAATCTTGAGAATATTATGATTTTTACAAGTATTTTATTTAATAAACAAAGCTTCTTCTTAATCTTTTTCCCTCCCCCTCATTTTCTCTTTTTTTCTCTCTCTCTCTCTCTCTGTCTCTCTCTCTTACTCCCCTTTTCATTTTCTCTTTTTTCATTTCCTTTTCTGTCAATCTTTCCTTCTATATTTAATTTATTTTTTAAAATCTTATGAATATTAATTATTTTTATTTCATTTAATTTGCATTATAAATAAATTGAATTTTTGTTCATAAAATACTCGAAATCAACTGAGTAATAAACTTATTAGCTTAGAATAAAATATGGAAGAGTCAAATATTATCCTACGCTTTGCTGTCTAATATAAAAGAAATAACAAAATTAGAGAAAGTAATTCAGGAGATAATCAAGATATTAATAAAAAATCCTTAGGCTTCGGAGAGGAGCACATATAATAGTAATTCTTCTTGATAAAGGAATAGGAGTTTTAGTCTAAATCTTCTACAAGAGTAGGTAATAGGCATAGGAAAAAAATCATAAGGGAATAATAGAATCCGAAGTGTATTAAAGTTTTTCATCTATCCTCCTAAGACATACGCCTTACAAAGAAAACAAAAAAAGATGCTAAAGGTAAAATAATCATAAAAAGAGAAGAAGAAAAACTCAAATAGATCGTTTGTTTATAATAAAGTCGTACCAAGTCAATAAAAAAGGGATGTAACGTCAACTAGAGCTATAAGTCAGAAATGTTTCAATAAACAAGCGAAGGCATTAGAATAATAGAAAAGGCAAGAATTGATTGAAAAGGTCAGCCGGCGTTTTCGACTGGAAGCGGGAAATTTCAATTTCCTGGCGCCGTTGGCGACTTTTCTACCCCCTTCTTCCTCTCCTTCTTTATCGGGCTCAACCTCACCCCAACACCCCAACCTCCCCTACCATTATCTTATCGATGAAACGATCGGTCATGAGTAGAGGAGTAATGGAATATTCTTTCCTAAACTAGATCCCTATCAGACGGGAACTACGGATAATCAGCATCATTTTCCTTTCAACTTAAAAACTTATCTTATCCCTTTAAGACTAGTTTAGTTTACACAATAGACGAAGAGAATTTCGTGAAACGAACATCAAATATAAAAGAATACAAATGTTTTTTAAGCATAGTTGCGTTGAGTAAAAGAAAACGTTAGAACTATATTAACGCGTATGAAATGTTCTAAGAAAACGGCCAATAACTGAATGATAGAGGGAATGAAAAATGGATAAATTTCCCTATCTCGCCTGTTTTTTTGTATGAAACATTGTCTAATACAATTGCAAGCATAGTTACAGAAATCTTTTTGTTACTTTTCCCAATATTTTATCGTTTTGCCATAAATATAAATATATACAATAATACAACCCATTGGTTATGCTGTGTAATGCAAATTCCTTTAAAAGAATCTAGCCTCAAAAATAGCTTTACTTGGCAACTCTACTCAGTAATAATTGTTTTCACCAAGAATCTAGATTAAGTCGATTCACAACGGGTAGTATTTTTTAAGTAAGCATCCTTTTTTTTATATTATTCACCAAACAAGACAACTAATTCTTTTAAGCCTACACTCACTCTCTTCTATCTTTCACTATCCCACTCATCTATTCCCTTTCTTTAATTTATCCATTTTCCCTTTTAACAATCCAAAGAAAGTCATACATTAGATAAATAAATTGACAAACTGAAAAGACCTAATTAAATGTAACAAAACCGTATAACAAGTACTTATTTTTATCTTCTATTTTTAATCTCCTTAATTAGCTTGAATATATGTATATTCAAAAAAGACAAAGAGAAATGGAAACTATTTATTCAATGTAGTTGAATGAAAGAAAATTTAAAAGCAAGTTAATTTAAAGGAAGAGAGAAGAGAAGGAAGTCAAACTAAAAAGATTTAAAAGTGTGAAGAAGGGATTAAAAGATTACTTGAATAGGACGTATTAAAAAGTAAACAGCATTATCAAGAGATGTTCTAGAAGCTATCAACTTTTTACAACGTTTTGATGGTTTCTATTC